ATAAAGATATATTGAACTCCTATTAACATTTAAGTATGTCAAAGGATTAGACAATCATCGGAGTTTGGCAGTTTTTTTGGCATTTCTCTTAGCGACTACACAGGTATCTTAATAGCCAGCAAACAATATCCATATTATGCTCGCAGCAATAGATTTAATTAAACTATTTTACCAACTAGTTGTATCGAAAATAAAATCGCAATAGTTATAAATAGTTATAAATGTAGATAGATACTTAAAAGCGAGTTAAAAACAGATTTTGAAAATCTACACATACTTAGGAATAAATTTCTCAAGCTCCACATTAGGCAAATTTGCAGCAGAAAAAGAAAAGAAGAAAAGGAAAAATGGCGCTCGATACGGCATTACAAACTATTAGGAAATTTAAACTACATAAAAAACAAACTGACATTTTAGAAGCAAAGAAAGTCAAATAGTTTCTCTGTAATATTAGATCTCTTCTTTTGTAAGCATATTGCAAAAGAACAACATTAAATAAGAACTGCTTCTGCTGGCAACTCTGAAACAACTGGAAGTTTTGTTAGGCTTATATATGGTAAGAATATTTTTGTTTACATGATTGTGAATAAAACATGAGTTTTCATGTGAAATAATAAATAAAAAAAAGCCTATTTGTTACGAACAATAACGACACGAAATGAGAATAATTAACGAAGTCATTCGTTGACAGTTAACGGGAAATTTCGTGTGTACTTCCAAAAATCGTTCCCAATAGACAAATTTTTAGTCCTGACAACCATGCGACTTGAGCTGCTTATTAATTAAGCGGGTTTCGAAAGGGTTGTACTAAATAAGCCAGCAGTGTTGTTGTTTCATGTGTTATTTTTAAAATAAAAGAAAAGGCCTATATTTCTATATTTAAATATTTTTTTTATATAAATTATATACAAATATTAAAAGGTACTAGTTGGTTTTAGCCTTTGGGTTTTTAATAATACGGTAGCACAAAGAGCCTATGGCCTAAGTGGATCCCTTTGGGACTGCCAGTATAACCTAACCTGGTCTATATACATATATATATTAATTGTAAATAATTTTTTGAATTTTTTTAACTACAATGGCAATGGTCATCGCATACGAATATGACAGTTGATGAAGTCAAATATACGTTGAGTACGTTGATACATTGAAATACATTGAAATTTCTTGTTTTTTGCAGAGATCGGAAAGGGCCTATGGCCTAAGTGGATCCCTTTGGGATCGCCAGTATAACCTAACCTGGTCTATATATATATATATATTAATTGTAAATAATTTTTTGAATTTTTTTAACTACAATGGCAATGGTCATCGCATACGAATATGACAGTTGATGAAGTCAAATATACGTTGAGTACGTTGATACATTGAAATACATTGAAATTTCTTGTTTTTTGCAGAGATCGGAAAGGGCCTATGGCCTAAGTGGATCCCTTTGGGATCGCCAGTATAACCTAACCTGGTCTATATATATATATATATTAATTGTAAATAATTTTTTGAATTTTTTTAACTACAATGGCAATGGTCATCGCATACGAATATGACACTTGATGAACTCAAATGTCATTGAGTACGTTGATACATTGAAATACATTGAAATTTCTTGCTTTTTGCAGAGATCGGAAATAAGCAAAAAATATTACATTTTATAAAACAATTGGCAAAGGTCCTATTAATTTATTATTTTCGTTTCGTCATACTGAAGAGTCATTTGAACATGACAGCGAAACGACAGGCAACGATTTTAATTTAAATGTTAGTCATGTGCAGTTAAATGAATTAGGAAGGAACTTCTTATAATATCAAATAAAAAATGTATAATATAAAACAAAACGTGTATATGTGTATATGTGTGTATTCGGGAAGATTTATATAAAAAAAGCACACAAAATCATTAGAAATGTAAATAGAAACGTCAGCGCAACAAATACCGCTCGCAAGGACACAATATTTAACATGACGAAATCAATGGATTCAAATTAAATAGTAAGGACAAAAAATACGAAGAAAAACAGAATTAAAGCTGATTGAATGTATTGAAACGACGGCGGCGGTAAGGACAGCTCTAGGGAAAAATAGCATATGATTGGTTGATTGAGTAAGTAAGGATACGAGCATGGCGTAGGAACATTAAAACACTGGAGCTCGAATTGTGCCACACTAAATGGACCGAACGCAAATCAAGCAGCAAAATATTGCAAAAACATTAATACTCGTACTGTATAAAGACAAATGATGATAAATACAAAAATAAAGAATACATATTGATTGAATATTGATAATAAATAATGAAAGCATTCAAATGAAATTAAATTCAATGAATATGACTGTGTATAAATGTGAGATCCTTTGATATGCCTTCACTTCAACAGGGCATCTAATAAATGATTGAAAGAATGAATAAGCGAGTGAGCGAATGAGCGAGTGAGTGAATGAGTGAATTAATAAAGGTCACATTGAATGTTTCGTTATGGCGAATAATGGTTTTTGGCACTTGTGTGCGGGAAGTACAAAAATATTATTGCATGAAAGCTATTTGTGCTAATAATTTAAAGGATGTGCCATACTTAGTGAACAAGCAAAACAAAAACAAAAACAAAAACCAAAACAAAAAAAAATATTAATTGAATAGATATTTTCTAATGCTAAACAAAACAAGATACCAGAGTGTATAATTAATCAAAAATAGATTAAAAAGAGTATTAAGCAGAAACAGAAGCAGAAACAGAAGCAGAAGCAGAAGCAGAAGATGACCAATAAATTGAATGTCTTCCTTCATAATTAATAGTTTTGGTATTTTATAAGTAATACACAGAGTGTACGTATATAAGTGTGTATGTGAAAATTTATTATTGTCCTGGCAGAGATAAGCTTGATTTCTCATTTCATTTCAAATGACGGAAGTGCGATAACACAAATATTGTGTACTGAAATCATTGTGTGCATACATATAGTGTATAATGAACGGTCTGTCTCTGTGTCTTCGGTTACCTTTTATGTGTAATGCATTGTTTTCTTTAGTTATCTCTGCACTTATATATGTACCTACAAAATAAATTCATATATATGTGTATATGTCTGTATCTATATCATATGAAAATGATAAATAGCATTGCTACTTAGATAGTTCAAAGCAAAATTCCATTTAAGTATGCATATTCAACTTGAATATTAATCATTTACTATGCAAAAATGTGCTCAGTGAATTTCATAAATATTTCTATTTATCTATAAGAAATGCAAGTTTACTTCAATATCTTATCAAAAAAAGAATTTAATTCAATTTATTAATAATACTTGCATGTTTTGAGTTCACTTTCTGTTAATAATTTGTATCTTATTCAAAGTCAATATGAACTTTTAAGGAAAACTGCTTTTTTTATGGGTTTAACATAAAAAATATGTTAAACCCAGTTTTTATATGGGTTTAACGGTCGTTAGAGAAACATATGCCGTTACCCAACATCCATAGACTTTCATAATAGTGCAAGGACAGGCTTCATTGTCTGTTAAATGAACATTCCATTTAATGAACGGTTAAAAGATTTTAATTGCAAAAGGAAGACCTTACATCTATCCATGCTCATCGCTTACATTTTAGCCTGAAATGCTGTAAGTATATTTGCCTACTAAATAGAGTAAATCACATCTAAAAATGACGAACATTTTTCTTTGTCTTTTCTTCAGCTAACTTTTAAGTAATCTCTGAAAATTGAGATATCATATTTTGCAGTATGAATTTCAGCTTTTAAAAAAAACAGGACATTACTCACATAATTTAAGCATAGATTTTTCAATAAACTTTCTAAATAATAATTTGAAGTTATATTTGTAACTAAGAATAAGCACTCCGTAGGTATATATATGTATGAGGTTTTTAAATAAATAACAACAAATATATATAAACTGGTTGATAAAAAAATTCCACACTCCTTTTACTACCCACAGATATGTTAATATGGTTATATATCTAGATATTTGTAGTAAAGACATCTACTGCCAATTATAGACAACCTCTTATACACATACAATATGGCACCGTATAACAATTTTCTTTTTGTAAAAATACATACGATCGGTAGTCTACTTTGAACAGAAATAATCACTAAAAGTATCTTAGTTTTAATAAAAAAAAAATTAGTTCTGTTATCTTTGGTGCCTACCTAGCTAATATAGATTTTATGGTATAGCTACACAAAAGAAAAGGCGCAAAAATGTAAGTCTAAAATGGTTTACTAAATTCACATTAAAATAAAAATGAAGTTTCTTACGATCTCTCCACCATTTTTAATGCTAATTCTATTAATCTTCAGTCATTTAAACAGTTAACAGTGCTCTATGCAGCACATTGCTGCTGTTTTAAAGCACCATTTTTTATTTCTACGATCACTTACGATTGGAAGCAAAATTCATGGACACAAGACCAATAAATAATGTTCACTTTTTATTGAGAAGAATAATATTATTCTAAACAAATTAATTTTTTTAATAGAATCTATGAATTACTTAATTATAAATAATTAGAATTAGAAATAAAAACTTAATATCTCTAATATCTCTAATATGTTGTAAAACTAACTAAAACCGTAAACAGTCTAGTGAAGTTTGTGTACCAATCAAAAGGATCTGGAGTGGTGTTTAATTTCAGGACCTCTTAAGTAAGTAAGTTATTAAAATAAATAAAATACATTTAATTAAAAATTGATAAAATCATCAATTTTGCTAGCATTTATTTAATAATTGCTTCATAAAATATTATAAATAAATCAAAAATGGAAACTTTTCACAGTATTATGATAATATTAGAACCTGTTATTAATTATTTAATTATTGAAAAATACTTAATCCTACATTAGTAATAAGAAATGTAAAAATTGTTGATTTAAAATTTTCTACTTCAAGTAAAATTCAAATGAAGTATTTTAATAAATATTAAAACTTTTAAAAGCAGTCTATAAAAGTAACTTAAATTAAAAACAAAAATTTTAATAGTTTGAATAAAAAGAAAAAAATCACAACCATAGCGCTTAGCAAAATAATTCCCAACTTAACCACTAAACTTTTAACTATTCTGCTTTCATGTGTGTTACTCGTTTCTTATAGCTATCTTCAGCCATTATTTTTAAATTCCTCGCAGTACCCTCTCCTGTCTTATCAACTAACTTCCGCAAATAGCCATTTTCGTTTTGTAGTAATTCATAGGGATGACCCATTTCAACTGCTTGCCCAGCATCCATCACTAGAACGCGATCGTTATCCATAACAGTGTGTAGACGATGTGCTATCGTCAAGACGGTACAGTTCTTGAACTTTGTTTGTATGGCTGTCTGAATGAGTTTATCAGTCCTAATATAAAAAAAAAATAATAACTCGTTCAGCGCAATAATTTTATTTTAAAATATTAAAATTACTTACTCAGCATCGACGTTAGCTGTGGCTTCATCCAAGATAAGTATACGACTGTGCCGTAATATAGCACGTGCTAAACACACCAATTGGCGTTGGCCCATGCTAAAGTTGGAACCACCATCATGCATACGACAACTAATACCTCCTTTAAGTGTCATTATATATTCCTTTAGTTTAACCTCAGCCAAAACACCCCATAACTCCTCATCAGTTTTCTCTTCGAATGGATCCAAATTGTAACGCAAAGTGCCGTAAAATAATATCGGATCCTGTGGTATAATAGATATGCGACTACGTAAGTCATGTAAACCCAAGTTATTAATATCGAAGCCATCAATTTCAATCAGACCCTCATTTTGTGCCAAACGAAACATGGCTTGAACAATTGATGACTTGCCCGCGCCAGTGCGCCCAACAATGCCAATTTTCTCCATTGAATTTACGGAGAAAGTTAAATTTTTCAATATGTAATTCCCATTGGTGGAGTAACGTAAACACACTTCATTGAAGCGTACACAACCATTTTCTGGCCAATTCTCTGGTAGTTTAATACTTTCATCGGTTTGTAATGGTGGTTCGGAAGGTATTTGTGCATATTCCATAACACGTTCCACACTTGTCATATTATTTTCAGTTTCTGCCATTTGTCGCATACCCCATTGGCACATAATTACCAAAGTCATTGAAGATGATATAGCCAAACCGACGTCACCGCTGTAAAAATCGCGATTGATGATCAAAAAACTGAACGTCACAAGTAAAATATAAATACTGCAAATAAGATCAGTGTAAAAAGCGAAGGCACGATTTGTAGTTACGAAAAGATATAGTGCTGAAGTGTTGTGATTTTGGTAACTGTGGAACTCATCATCCAAATGTTTGCTGGCATTCAAGGCACGAATTGTTGTTAGACCCTGACACGTTTGATTCGTATGAGAATATATAGGACTGCGAGCTAAAAAAGAAAACGAAATAAGTAATATTACTTCAGTTATTTATAAAAAAAATATATAAAATTATTATTATTATATTTTATTTTTAAAGTAAAACACATTTTTTATGTCTTCTATTTTCATATCTCATACCTAGTCAAAATTTTCCTTTGAATATTTACAATAGCAGTATATAAGTTTGACTATTCTATTATAAGAGTAACAGTACAGTAACTTTACATTAATAATGTATATATTATCTTTTTAAGCAATATGTATGATAGAATAGGTTAGATTAAGTTGTACCAGCGATCTAAAAGGATCCACTTAGTTCTATTGGCTCGTTGTGTTACCGTATAGCACAAAACTCAGAGATTTAAAACTATCTTGAACCCTTAACAAAGGTTAAAATGCTATTTAATGGAAGGTGTTGTAGTTGACCAAGTTCCTTAAAAAAATCCTCTTTATAGAGTAGTAAAGAGAGCACAGAGCCGTGCATGTGCTGGACCTGAACAAAGGTCTCCACAAATGTGACAGATTTAATTGAAGGGGAGATTCAAACTTTTCTCATGGTTTTGTAATCTACAATGGCCCCTGATTGGATCTTTTTGTAGTGGAAAGTAGTTTAACTGCTTATAGATGCCTACATATCGTTGAGTCTTTCCATCTTTTATTAAAAAGTTGAGCACAGAACTAGCTTAATAACGATTTGCATGACATCAGCGATATGTAAAGATTATTTAGGTGTTCCGAGTGATTTCGTGAAGAACCCCTTTGTCTAGCAAGTCTACTTTATAAATGCCGACATCTCATTCAAAACCCATACTGGATGTAAATTTGACTGCACTCAAGGACTTCAAAGCAGCTTGACTGTCTGATAATATATGTATATATTCGTAGTCCTCCACTTTCAGACTAGCTTTAGCTTCCCTAAGGATGATAATCTCAGTAATAGTTTCAGAGAAGTAAGGCTATGATGTATTCCTAGAATCATATAGATCTAATTGTCTTTTATCTTAAATAAAAGGTTTAAGTTGTAATTCTATACATATTTCCTGTTTAATAATATGTATCTAAATGACAAAGTATTATTTTTAGTACAAATAGAACTTACTCATAATTTCAACACGTTTCAAACAACGACTTGCTCCTATATAGAAACTACGGCACAAATACAATAGACCAATACAAACGAATGCAGGAAGTAAAAGCCAGTAATTTGCGAAAGCAACAACTACCAGAACCGCGATAGCATCCACGAAGAACTAAAAGCACAAATAGAATAAATGTTTTTTGAAGAAAACTTTGAAACCGTAAGTACTTACGCCAATAGAATCTAACATTGCTTGCGATAATGCAACATCAACATTAGTTATATCGCTGGAGAATCTATTCAATATGCGTCCTGATGCATTTGTGTTAAAGAAATACATAGGAGCACGTATAATGCCTTGAAACAAGCTATCATGCAATCGCAACGAAATCTTTAGACACATCAAAAAGAAACCAAATGTGCGCATAATATACAAGACCAAGGTACATATAATAAATATGGTATATATGAGCAATATTTGTTCTCTTTTAGATGCATATTCTTCGTCGGGATAATCTCCTTTGTATGGTCTGGACTCTTCCCAAGTAGCCCTGAAATAAGTAACCGTTTATTTAATATCATAAAATTCATACGACTTACTAACCATCTTTCAATAAATATGTCCATGGCAGCTTGACTCGCACGTGCCAATATAAATAGAGAAAATATAATGAATATCACCCATGGCATACCCAGTACTTGGAAGTACATTATATAAGTACTAAGCTTGACTGAACCTTGCATTTGTTGCTCCTTTCGTTCCACTCCGCTATCCTTTTCTAATTTTTTCTCTGGTTCTGGTTTTGTGATTACTTCTGGTTCCACAATGCTGTCAGCATGATGAACTTTTATATTCACGTCCTCCGACTCGACACCTAAATGCATACGGAATGCTGCAGTATTTTTGAGATCATTATAGGTGCCCTCCATTTCAATTCTACCAGCTTTCATAAAAATCAACTGATCCGCATTTCTTAGGTGCTGTACTCTATGCGTTACTAAAATACGCATTTTATCATGTAAAAACTCCAAAAAGCATTTGTGCATCAAACGTTTACAGACATGTGTATCGACTGCAGAAAGTGGATCATCGAAAAGGTATATATCTGCTTGTCTATAAACAGCTCTCGCTAAACTAATGCGTGCCTTTTGGCCTCCACTTAAACTGCTTCCTCGTTCACCAACTATAGTGGAGTCTCCATACGGCTGTAATTGTATGTCCCTTTCAAGCTCACAAACACGCAGTACCGCCTTATAACGTTTCTCATTAAACTTTTCCACAAAAATTATATTATCACGTATGCTAGCCTCAAATATCCATGGATTTTGCGGAGCGTAACTAATCGCACCGTTGACTTCTACGTTTCCTTCACTTATTTCTAGCTCTCCTAGTATAGCATTAAGCAATGTGGATTTTCCTGCACCTACATCGCCTGCAATGCCTATGAACTGATTATCAATGATTTGAAAACTGATATTGTTTATATGACGTTGTGGTTTCTCTATTTCCTGTTTATCCCAAGTAGCAGATAGATTGTGTAAAGTTAGATTCTTTTTAATAGCATGTGGATTGTGCATTCTGCCACTGAAACTACGCTTTTCCTCTTCATTATCTGCGCCAAAATTCTCAATGCCACCATCAGCGGGGTCTTCCGATAGTGTTAAAAAAGTAACAACACGTTTTCCACAAACAAGCGTTTCAGCCCAAGTAGTAATCGATAGCGGCCAGAAATGCAACAGAGAATCATTTAGCGCATTATAGTATGAAGAGACTATAAACACTTTTCTTGCTGTGACTAACTCACCAGTGTAAACATACGTGACCAGACTTAGGAAGAGAGCAAATTTTGAAATCATATCTGTGCATTGCAAAGCTGCATATACGTTCATATTATCTCTTATGGCTTTCACTTCACGTTTTCGCAAAGTAGCTATTATCTTGGCAAAGGACTTCTCCCAAGCATACATTTTTATCAGTTGTATAGCTGATATAATCTCATTCATTAGTTTGACACGATCATCGCCAAAGTCGGAGTATTTTAGTCGGAAGTGTGCAGCAGCTTTAGCAGCCCAAGCTTGTAGTGGTATGAAAACTATGATGGAACCAATGCCGACTAATGCTGGCCAACCAATTTCACGATACATTATATAACCAAAAACGCATCCTTCTAGTGGACCACGCCAAAGATCATGAAAGAAGTAGAAAGTTAGATTGAATTGCGCTAAATCAGATGAAAGCACTGAAATGGCAAAGGCACTCATGCCGCTGTTGTCTGCCGTTATGGATGAGCGTAAACATTTCCGATAAACTAAGCCAGAGCAAGCGAGACGTACCCGTGTACCAATTTCGAAAAGATAAAACATAAACGGATGAAAACATAATGTGTTAATCAACGAACATAAGACTATGCCTGTGGCGTAGAGGTATGCATTTTGCTTTGAGATATCAGTTTGACCTTCTGAGAAATATGATACAAACAAGCCTAAAAATATCGGTTGTAGTGCGCTGAAAAAATATAAAATTAATATTTAATAATATTGTAAAATTAGAGATATATATGATGACATTGTTATTATGTATATACAGATATAATTTAAAAGTTAATACTTGATATTTATAATGTACAGAAGGAATAATCGTCTGAGCTAAAAACTTTTTTGTTCACTTAAAATGGACTTAAAATAAAGAAAAAATCTTACAATCCTCATTTTAGATACATGTGGTATATGGCGTCTCAGAAACAGACTTTTTAAACCTCTTTAAATGATGACTATGGAAATATAAATGTCTACTAACATCACTACAAAAATGTCACACTGAGCAACAAAATTTGACAAATCGAGAGTAAATCTAAATTGAATCCAGTTTTTCGAATCGGAAACGACTTTAATAAACAAAAACAACTGCCTAAGTCAATACTTACTGAATCGATATGGCAAAAATGGAATATAGTATGCAGATAGGCACGAATCTCCAACCATAAGCACGAAAGATAACACGAAGTAAATTCGGGTTCTTTCGACGCACTTCTCTTTCCCAATATTTAGTCAACTCGCTCGATAATATTTTTCCGTCCAAATCTGGCAAATGTGAATACAAATCGCTTTCATCAAGTTTTTCACGATAACCCTTACTAAATATTTCACGTGTCCACCTATAAATTAAAATAAATAAAAATAAAAAATCAGTGAGTAATATTTAATTGGTAATTTAAAAAAAAAAAGCAAAAATAGTTAATACTCATTAAAAACAAGCGGATGGCATTTACCTTCGCATTTCGAATCGGTACTTCAAGATTTAATGGATAATATTATATTCGAAAGAAGATGTATTACAAACAATTATAAAAAATAAAAAAAGAAAAGAAGTCACTTTAATTTTCTCTCCGAACATTTATCTTTTGATCATAAGTGATCGTACTGATCGTAGAAACAAAAAATGGTGCTTTAAAACAGCAGCAATGTGCTGCATAGAGCACTGTTAACTATTGATAATGACTGAAGATCAATAGTATTTGCTATAAAAGGTAATGAGATCATAAGAAGTTTGAATTTAATTTTAATATGAGTTAAGTAAACTATCTTAAATTTTTAAAAAACACACTTCTTCATTTCCGAATTTGCTTTAAACCCTTATGAATAATGAATAAACAATTGATTTAAAGATGTTTCAAAGTTAAGACTATTTTTTTAAATAGATACTAATTTATTTTTATTTCAAATAGTACCCTTCTGATTGTAATAAAGTGATTTCCATGGTCTTATAGCATATCGAGCGCTAACTACTCAGCAAATACATTTTTTTCGAAAAGGAAAAAATCACATAGGGCCAAATGACGTGAATATGATAAGTGGTTAAATGTAATTTGTAGTATATGACTTCTCTACAGATACCAAAAAATGTAATAGTTGAAAGTTTTGTTAGCTTTTAAACTTATTTTGTGTATTGTTTATTAGATAAGGAAGTTCTCTTTAAGTAAAAAACTACAAAACTAATAGACATATCTTCCAATTTGATAACAAATACTTTAAGCTCTTAAAACTTAACAAAAGAAAAAAAACGCTTTGAGGAAAATATGAAAGGAAGTTTTGACCTCTTAATCCATTTTTCAATTGATAAATAATACTTGTTTGTTTAAATTTAAATTTAAAATTTCAAGTCCACAATAAAAACTCACAAGAACATGAATGACTTACAAACAAATCTTTTCTATACCAATAATATGCAGCATTTTTTGGGATTTTCTTGAATGAAAGTCATAAAATTTGACACACTCGTTCCAAATCACTTGTGAGCTTAAAATAATTTCATAGTTTGCTGAAGTATGTAAGAAAGATATTCTTGGTATATTGATAACATTACCCAAAAATCGCACTGGCAATCTAATGCCAACAAGTACATGGATCATTCTTTCACGGAACGACTAACTTTTGACCCCATCACCTTCGATTTGGATGGAAGAAAATTGTCATATTATACATTAAATACATATTCATTTTGTTGTTTTGATTTAGATTTTTCGTAAAATTTTTTAAAAATCTGAAATTTTCTCGATGTCATTAATTTTAAAATAATTTAGTTTATTTTTAAATAATTTATTCATGCTGTACCTCAGACTTTACGTATACATACTAAATAACAATTAAATGAAATATTGCTAAATATACTCGTACCAAAATTATATAAATATTTTTATTGCTAATTTGTATTTATCATTAATTATTTATTACTAAAAATTTTAATTTTCGAAATGCTTATATTTTTATAACTAATTTTAACAATAATCTTAGCATACACTTTATACATACATTATAAACATAAAATTTTAATTAAATTAAGCATTAAGAAATATACAACTGGAGATATTAATTTTTTATTTCTAATTCTAATTATTTATAATTAAGTAATTCATAATTTCTATTAAAAAAATTAATTTTTTTTGGATAATATTATTCTTCTCAATAAAAAGTGAAGACTATTTATTAGTTTTGTGTCCATGAATTTTGCTTCCAATCGTAAGTGATCGTAGAAATAAAAAATGGTGCTTTAAAACAGCAGCAATGTGCTGCATAGCGCACTGCTCACTGTTGATAATAAATCTGAAGATTAAAAGAATTAGCATTAAAAATGGTGGAAAGATCGTAAAAAATTTCATTTTTATTTTAATGTGAATTTAGTAAACCATTTTAGACTTACATTTATGCGCCTTTTTTTGTATAGCTATACCAAAAAATCTATATTAGCGAGGTAGGCACCAAAGATAACAGAACTAATTTTTTTTTTATAAAAACTAAGATACTTTTAGTGATTATTCCTGTTCAAAGTAGACTACCGATCGTATGTATTTTTACAAAAAGAAAGTAGTTATACGGTGCCATATTTTATGTGTATAAGAGGTTATCTGTAATTGGCAGTAGATGACTTCAGTACAAATATCTAGATATATAACCATATTAACATATCTGTGGGTAGTAAGAGGAGTGTGGAATTTTTTCACCAACCAGTATATATATATTTGTTATTATATATTTAAAAACCTCATACATATATATACCTACGGAGTGCTTATTCTTAGTTACAAATAAAACTTCAAATTGTTATTTGGAAAGTTCTATGCTTAAAAATCTATCCTTAAATTAGGTAAATAATGTCTTGTTTTTATTAAAAGCTGCAATTCAAATTTATTATTATGACTACAAAATTAAAAGTACTCGAAACCGCTGTATTCTATAAATTAAAATAATTTCAAAGAGTCTCTTTATTAACTCATTTAAAAATTAGTTTAAAAAATTGGTTTTTAATAAACTAAATAAACAAGTAGCCAGTTTCAAAAACAAAATTATTAATAAAAAATAAAAATTATTTACTAAAATAAGTTTTCAGTAAAAATATTCAAAATTTTTCACAGAAAATCTTAACCTTAATAAAAACTCATATTAGGCCACAAGTCAAGAGTTGATAAAATGCTTGATTTATTGAACTGGTTTTGAGGTTAGGAGAGATTCTTTATAAGATTTCTTTTTCGAATGAAAATTACAACCGTTGATTTTGCTTCTTGGATTAAAGAATAATTTTCCGTATTCATGCTGTCTAAGATTTTAAAATTTTATTTAATATATATAACATTAGATGATATGGTTTTAAAAAGTTCAATATTTGTATATATCAAACGCTGTACCATATGTTATTTTTAATAGGCAATTTTGTTTAAAATAAGATAATAGAAGTGAAACTTAACCAATTTGAACGTGCAAATCTAGTACTTTGCACTTGAATAGTAAAGCTTGAAAGCTTTGGGCATTGCCAAAATGTATTGATTAAATATAAAAGTTGTGGGAGATAACTTATGCTATTCACACGGCACTCAGTGTAATTGAATATGGCAGACATTTTTGTGACGCCACTTTCTTATCAAAAGTATAAGTTGTTTAACAAGTTTTGTATATATAGATTAATTGGAGCTAATTGCGGCTAAATGTCTAATCAACAAAACAAAAATTTTTAATACAAAAAAAAAATATATCTGTTTATTGAAATTTCAATGCCCGCAATACAGATAATTATATCAAGAATTTAATATTTACCATTTATTTGGACAATTTTGCTCAACTATGTTTTAGATTAGAGAAACGTCAACATAAGTACTGCTAGGGCTAAGTATAGCTTGTATATATAGTCAGAGTTTTATGGTTAGAGTTTCTCTGTTGGTGTTATCCAGTGACTAGCCATCACTGTAACCGGGTATTGCTATTTAGCAATATACTGTGGGCATGACCTTGTAACCATTATTTTGCATGGCCTTGTAACCATGACCTTGTAACCATTATGAGGACATGGCAGTGACAAAGCTTAAGTTTGGTTAAGAAAACAGTAGGTTTGAGCATAAAACAAATACCTCAGAATTTATTTATACAAGTCGTCCAATTTGAATTGAACAACAATTTACAAATGATCTAACTTAAGTATTAAGCAATAATATGCATTTTAGTTTTTTGTATCAATAACTGTCAAGATGTAGTAACTGAACTAATAATAGCTATATTTCTTTGTTTAATGTATTTTTTCCATTAAATAAATTTTCGATTTTAGGAAGACCTTTCTGTGTAAGAAGGCTTTTCCTTTATTGAGAAGTGTATATGTTTAAAGTTCCTAAATGAAAGAAAAAGATTGCAATTTACAAAACAACTAGCGGTTCTGGTCATAGTTGTTTGTGATTAGTTGAATACACAGGCGATGTACTGAGGACATGGGCCTATATCTATTGTAGTAGATATAAGCATGCGAGGATAATGGAGCTTCAGTCCGCTAATTAGCGACAGAAGGTCTAGACATCAAATTATGAAAAGAATATCGTATTATTTTATATGTGATAATATATTATTTTTACTATTATTTTCTTGAACTACCTGATCCTATATATAAGTGAAAATTATTTATTTTCAATAAAATTTTATGTTTTCGTTTTTTAATTATATGGGGCTTTTATATAAATTTTAATTGAAGTGTTTAAAATTTAGTTAAATTATATATGTGTGAACTATGTTAATTTACAAAGGGATCATAATCACAATGATATTATAATATAAATAATAGTTTTATTAATTTTGTGAATAAATATTATGAATATTACATAAAAAAACTCCAGCAAATTTTTTAAATAATATTTCCTCTTCGTATGTCGAACTCAATTTTAAGAAAAAAACGCTTTAAGTTAATATAGTTACAAAAATTAAGTCCAGAAAGTGGTGAAGGATTGACTGCACACAAAGTACCAAAAGACCAAGTCAAACTACAGGAGATATTTTGGTATTTTGGAATCCACAGGAGGTATTAGCGAAGACTTAAGAAAGAATTAAAAAAACTGATTGAAGTTATAAACAGTACTTGAAGTGAATTAAGTCGTAAAACTACTTGAGTTTAGTAGATCGTTGAGTCTATTTGCTTCACTCGGAGTTAAGAATAGTAGTAAAAAATATTAGTAGTGAATGGTGTTAAGTTAATATATTATTATAAATAAGTATGAATATCTATAAACGTAGCTTCGTATTAAAACATAGGATTAAGTAAATATTGCTATATCTAGTACTTTACATTATTAAATTATCTATTTAAAAACCTAGCTTGCTCTCAAATTTAAATAATTTATTATAGTGAGTCTTATATAGACAGCCAATAGTACAAATAGACAAAAATTTCTGTAGATTTTTACACATATAAAGTTCACATACACAATTGAATAAATGTGCTTTAATCACCCATACTAAACTTATACTAATTATAGTGTATAAGAACGATTTTTTTCTTTATATTAAATATACACTTTTATATTCATTTAAAAATTTAACAATTGAAAATAAAAATTTATTTAATAAATTCTATTATTCTACAGCTGATTTATGATATCATTCTGATATAAACACAGCAAGTGAATTTGTTAATGAACTTTCACAGTAAATCAACAAAACTCCAAGTTCGAATATACAAGTCAAGTACGGCTTTGGGTTAATTGATTAATGAACACTGACTCTGTGTTTCAAATTTGGCTGGGTAAGAGTTTAATTTTTGATACTTTCAGTATAAAAAAATTATTTATATATAATGAAATATAAGTAGTATTACCAAAAGACCACTGAGGATGGGTATTTGACAGTACTTATAACAGCCGTCAGCCAAAAATTCAATTAAAAAATAATAAAATCCTGTTGTTGTGATTTACTACTGTTAAGTTATTGTTAATAATTTATATTTCTTCCAAATTAGTTTATAATTTTTATATTAAATTTGGCTTTCCTCTCATTTTTTTCTTTACAATATTATAAACATTTTAAGAAACATAAAGCACCAATTTTAAATAGTGTGAAGGGTATAAGAACCCACAAGAGAAGTATATCAATGAAACTTAATGCGCAAACTAAGCAGAAATGACAGTCTCGAGTTTATTTGTGTATTGAATTTGCCATAGCAAGATTTTGTAATTCAAGTAATAATTAATATTTAATATAAATGGAAAATTCAAAATATACCCACCAAAAAAACCATTTAGATAAAAAATTTGATTTTAAAATAGGATTTGGTTTCCTTTCTTCACTTTCTTTTGACGAATTCATTACGCGTTATCCTTATAATTTGCATTAAAAAATTTCAAAAATATCGAACAAGAATTAATTTCAATATTATATCCTTAATGGTTTTTAAATATTTAATTAAAATTAAAATTTAATTAATTTAAATTTAATCATATACATAAAATTCATATAATTTTCAACACTCTGTAGAACGAACTTAAGTAAATATTATTTTATTTCTGTTTATTAAATATATTCAAACCGAATCACTTCACTTCACTTAACGCACTGTTCGATGGGCACTCAGAAAACGATTTCGTTTGCGAAAACCAAATATTTGTTTAACATGAACACTTCAGGAATATACTGCAATAAATTATTAATTTTAATAAATTGAAAATTATAATAATATATGATACGATGTGATACGATGTGATATGAATGAAACGTTACGATGCTATACAAAAATGGTATACTCGCGTTCGACGAGTGAACAATTTTATCTTAATTCCCATTGACAGCAGCCCATCAAAATATTCGTAATACCAATGCGATTGTGGACTCTACGCACAAAGCACAAAAAACCTAAACGACAACGAAACCAACCTTTGAATAACTGCTGATTGGGTCTTGCCAATTGGTTGGAACAGTTTTTGTTTTGAATTTTAGTTTAAATGAAAACGTAAACGAGACTATTTCAGTAACTCCAACAGAATGTTTACAATCAAAAGTTATTTGACCACAAATAAAACCGCAAAGCAAATTATTGTCTCTGACTAAGCAAGCAATAGTACGGCTTTTTATCAACAACAAATCATCTTATCAAGTGAAGCACTAACCAAATGCTCGACTGACTGAGAGAGGGCTAAAGTTATATGTATTCTTATATCAATCGCCCTCCACTTTGATTATCAAACTAATTTTAAACAAAATTTGATTGCATTGATTTTTCACTAAAAAAAATTTTTTTTCTTTTATGAGCATTTCGGTAAACATTTATGAGCACAGATAAAACATAAAATACTTGATCCATTGTATTAGATAATTTATTAGCTTTTGAGCTATTTTTATCCATTTGAATTGTTGTAAAATGTACGGAACTCGGAACTGTAGTGGCTCGGCTTCTGATAACTCCTCGCAATTGCCAATGCTATCAGTTAACAATTAAAATATTACGTCCGCCTTAACGAGGCTTATTTGTTATTCACTCTGTTATTACTTCACAATGGATTTATACAGATAAATAAATTTTAAAATTAATTTAAGTAAAATTTGGTAACAACTTAAACAGCTTTAGCTAATTAATAAATATGACTTTTATGGGCTTTACATTATACAATTTAAGCTGACTATAATTATAGTTTTTGTAAATTTTGGCAATATTTTGACAAAATATATAAACACTTTTTGATTAAGAAAAACACATAAAATGTGTACTTTTCAATTTAATTTTTTTAAATATATATTTTATATAGAGGTTTTGCGACCAGTAGTGAAACGACAACAACAAAAATTCATTTTATATTATTTTAATTAATTGAATTTTTGGCTGACCATACAGCTATTTCACGTATTGCCAAATACCCATTATCAGTGGTCTTTGAAATATTTCTTGTATTTCATTATTCGTACATAATTTTTTTTTGAGACTGCAAGTACCAGGAATCGAACTCGTGTCCTGCCAAATTTGAAGCTCAGACTCAGCGCTCCTTAACCAACTGACCCAAAATCGTACTTGACTTTTATGTTCAAATGTTTTTCTGGAGTTTTGTTAATTTGCTGTGAATGTTTTATTAACAAATTCCAGCTGTAGAATAATTGAATTAATTAATCATATTTATATTTTTAATTTATAAATTGCAATACTATTCTGTTTGTAGAGGCTTATTTGTTGAATGATTTATATATTCTTTCTTTTATATAGAAAGAAACGTAATACTGAGAAAATCATGCTTATCTCACTCCATGAGTCGCACGGGCGAGATCGGGCGAGTTATTGATATAGGAATTTCATATCTCTTCATGTTCAAAAGGGTTAATGTTATATTAAAAATTAATTTTGCATTACCTTAATTGTTTTTATTAAATACATATATATATGTTTATAAGTACATATCTTTTATGTGAACATTAACCATTAATAACAATCACTAAAAGAAATTTTAAATTTCTATTCGAAGTAACAAAAAAAAGAAAATACTTGAATTCTCTTGGTAAATGTCAAATCGTTTTATGTCAAGGGAACAATTAATGAAATACAAAGAATAAGAAATAAAATATGAAAAACATTTTATAAAATTAAAACAGGAAAAGGAATTGAAAATATGAAAGTTGCAACAAATTTTCGTAAAAACAGCAAAACTCTAAAAAATGTTAGCACTTAAGACCCACGCTCGCATCAGCACATCACCAGCACTTCACCATATCACCACTTCACCACATCACCGCATCGACAAATGCACATGAGATTTCCGAGTTAAGTTTCTCAAACAAAAGCTGGTGTATCCATTTCGGCTAAGTAAGCACTGCCAATGCCGCTTCCAATCCCGCTTCCAATGCCAATTCTGATAACGATCCGATGCCAATATTACTACTCATACAAAATGCTTGAAACAGTTAAAAGGAAATGAAGCGCAAATGTCGAATAAAATGAAATTTTCTGTTTCGGACTTGAGTAGAAAATTAAATACCAATTTACAAACAACGCCTCAAACGAGGTTTTTATAAAAATATCAAAAATATCAAAAATACTCTACAAAACACAATGAAGAAAGAAAAGCAAAAAGCAGAAAGCAAAAAAAAGTATCTCAAATTAAAATTAGAAATATTTTCTTAAACAAGCAGAGCACAAAAATAACAGTAGCCGCCGACACACAATCGAACCGTATGTTTGCACAAAAATTTAACATTAAAATGTTCAAATTTAGTGAAAGTTCTTTATTTTTAAAAGGGATTTTATTTTTTTTTTTATTCGCCTTTTTGTTTTGTTGTAGGTTTTGGCTTCTCTTCTTCTTTTTCTTTCCTTCGTTCTGTGATGGAATTCAGCTGAGTTGTTACAAAATGTGGCAAAAATTTATTTGTGCGCGGCTCAATTACATTCACAGTTTTGACGTTTTACGATAACTTCTTTTTAATTTTTATATTTTTCCTGTATTATTAAACTTTTGCTGGCCAGGCATATGTAAACACTTACACACACTCACACACACACACACTCACACACAATCACACACACACGAAACGTGCACAGTTTCGGTTCACAGCAGAGTCCTTGCTCAGCATACGTAATATTCCTCCATATGAAACGTAAGCACTACTTCTCAAACACACATACACACACGTAAACACAAACACACATGCGAGAACACCAAACTCACATCCGCTCAATTACATAAATACGATCAAAATACACACACACACATATATACAGAGTCTAACACCAACGCCGTAAGTTTTATTTTGGAATTTTAAGCGAGCGCATAATTGGTTCTGTCAGCAGCAGATTAAAAATAAAATATTAAAAATATAGAAAATAAAATAAAATGTGCACTAATGTTCACTATAATCGGTCATATAAATTTTCAGCAATGTTCAGCAATTTTTGAATTCGAAGAATTTGAGCTCAAAAGCAATTTAAGTAGAGTTTTCTTTTAACCTTAATATAGCCAGCCATAGAGTTTTTATTGAATAGTAATAATAATAATAGAGTTGTAGCGAAGGGTACACCAAAATTGTAGGATAATCCATAGTAAGATCGTGACGTGATCAAACTGTAACCATAAAGAAGTTATGGTGCAACCAAAGCATATTTATAACACAAATAAAAGCATGGGAATAACAGAATCATAATGTAGCCATAGCATAGTCAAGGCATAGCGTAGTTATACCGAGCCATAACGTAGTCATAGCATAGCCATACCATAAATATAGTATAGTGATAGCGTAGTCATAGGGTAGCAATAGCGTAGCCATACACAGTGATTACACCATACCATACTATAAGTGTAATCACTGCGTAGTTAGAGCGCAATCATAATGTAATCATAGCGTATTCTTACCGTTGCCCTAGCGTAGTTATAACGTAGTCATAGCACAGCATTAGCATAGTCATAGCCTAATACTAGGGTACTTATTACATAGCCATCGTCTAGCCATAAAATAGCCACAGCATAGGTAAACCCTAGCCATAACATAACCATAGCATAGCTAAAGTCTAACCATAACATAGCCATAGCATAGCCATATCATAGCCATAGCATAGTCACAGCATAGCTATAATATAGCCATATCATAGCCATAGCATAGTCAAAGTATAGGTATAGTATAGCCATAGTAAAGCCATAAAATAGCCATAGCATAACCATAGAATAACCATAGCGTAAGCATTGAATAGCCATAGCATACCCATAACATAACTATACAGCAGCCATAGTATAGCTATAGGATAGCCAAGTCATTGTCATAGCATAACAGAACATATCCAAAGTGTAGTCTAAGCATAGCCATAACATAGCTATAGCATAGCAATAGCCTATTCATGGAGTAGTCATAGCATAGCCATAGCATACTAATAACATATCCATAGTGTAGTCCAAAGCGTGGCCATAGGACAACCATAACATAGCTATATGGTAGTATCTTATTACTTATATCTTAGATCAACGCGTATACTACAGCATATTTATAGTTTGGTCATATACCCATACCCACACCCAAATAATGGTATAGCTCATAGCACAGCTATAAGTAACCTTATAAAGCGAATCGTGATGAAATCCAACTTTGTATTGTGTAGCCGCAGCGTAGAAAATATTGTTACATTGTGGCTATAACGTAGTCCGAGCATAGTTGTTCCACAGCCATAACCCCCAATTTAAACCAAGACATCTGACCTGACGTTGTTTTAGATTGAAGTATGTTTTAGATTTTATGAATATAATGTAGAACTTCATGATGCTTGGCTATCACAAAAAATATTAATATGTATGAAAAATATATTATAGAACGAGTACTGGATTAAGTATAGTACATAATATTTATATCAGTCATTCAAACCATTATAAAATTTTGACTTTGAGTTGGGTCAACCTTTGCCCAGTTCTCTCTCGTTGTGACATGAATTGAGAACATAGAAATAATGAACTACAGTGAATAACTCCTAATCGACTTTGGAGTGTGTGATGAGAACTACTAAACACATAGGTATCTCGTGTATTTGAGAGATACCTATGTGTCTACTTTGAATTAGTCCCCTATTGACAAAATAGGGGTTCAATTGATAATATTTTTTGTGATCTTTTTTTATTAACTTAATTTAATTGGGTTACTTTTCAAAGAGAACGCATATTTTTACAATACTTTAACAGTAGCTATTCGTTGAAACTACTGATTATGAAAAACATTTTCAAGACAATAAATCTTTTTACCAAAAGTCATTGGCATGAAAAAACTGAATAGCAGTGCTGCAACAAGACCCATCCCATCTAAATTTTCATACTTTCAGCCTCATTGAAGGAAATGAAGAAAAAATCGTGCATTGTCATCGTGAAACAAAACTTTTTACTAAAAGTCGAATCACTCACATGACTCACATATCATCCATAAATTAATCAGTGAGAATTGAAATTTTTAGATATCATGACAAAAACCTCTTTTGACACATGTTTTGTTTCCTTTTTTTTTTCAAAAAGCATAACACCTTCAAAAAGTAAGTTAATGATTTTTAAAGATATGCATATATAAATAAATATTTCTTGAATTTTTGATTTAGGCTGTGACTTTAAAATTATATTTGTTTATTTTAAACATGTCCACATGGCCTTAGTTGCCATGTCCTTTAATATAGGGTAAAGATTTGAAAGAGAAAAACGCTGCTTAAACAATTTATCCAAAAAGGTATTAATGTGAATTTTTTTACGAAATTATATATAAAAAATTAAATTAAAAGAAAAATGAAAACACAAAAAATTTTTACAAATTTGTTGCTGTTTCTGTAGGAATATTGATACACATTGTTGTGTTTTGTTGCTACTTCCGCTTCCATAACAGGAGATGCGATTATTGTTGTTCCATTTTTCGGGTATCACTGAACCCCTCTAATAAGATTTCATTCATATTTTTTAATGGAGACATTCAGCGCCCGTTGTCGTATTTGTCGTATCCATAATTCAGTTCTGAATCCTTACGAATATCGGTGTCAGTACGAATGGAATGAAGAACGTGTATTTAAGAGTTCAGTGCTTTGACATGCCTTGACTACAGTCACGTTTTGTATGTGCAAAACGTATCGTTTTGATATATATATTTTTGGTATTTCATACTTTTTATTATATTTTATTTTATTTTATTTTATTTTAAGTAAGTGGATTGTTCAAAGAATTAATAGAATATGTCAGAATTGACCGGAAATAATGTAGTCGATAAGAATTTTTATATGTGGTTGGTTAAGCAGTAGCTCTGTATAACTGCTTTTGTTTCACTGTGAATTTTTTTTTGGTGTTGACGTTCATCTAAGTTTAAAATATTATAAATATTAAACTTTTTTCACAAAGGTATCATAAAATATCTATTTCAATGACAAGAGAAATTTAATTTGAATTTTTAAAGCCTTATTGGTACATATATAAAAAAATTTATGGTATGTAGTCGCTTAACTAATATATAAAGTTTAACATAATAAGTTCTTTTTACAATAAACAATTTCAATAAAGAATCTTAATAGAAAATCTAATAAAATATTTTAAGTCATCTCAAATAGAATTTGAAGTTGCTGCAAAGAAAAAAGAAGAACTGAGAGTGAGCTTCCCACTTACTTGGTAAATACATAACACCTAATGATTAATTAAAAAAGGACAAATTCAACTGCTTATTTTTTTTTTTAAACATCCTCATTTATTGGATATGAGTAGTACAATCTTAACTATTTGTTAGTTTATGACTATTGCTGAATTGTACTTAGTAGTTATTAAGTAATGCGTGTGCGGGTTTACTGAACTAGTATTCAGCTCCCATATACAAATATAATTTATAATATAATATTAACTATGTTAACTCATGAGGTTTTGTTCACTTATGCCTTCTCCGTTCATTGGTAATATCCATCAGTCGAATAGCTTCTACCTTGATGTGATGAGTAATCGTTTTTCATGCCTAGAAGCTACTTTTTGAAAGTCTTTATATATTTCTTGGTTTGTTACATATCGATAAGCATTTGTAATCATTCTTACATATTTGTTTGGACTTCATGATGTCTAGGTTCGATTGTTTCGTACAGCCCTATAGCTCTATGACGTACATCCAAAAAGGTTTCACGACAGTTAGATAAATCAGTCTTTTTTAATATAGACTAAATTGAGAATGATGTCTAATTAGCCAATACGTTTGTCGATATTTATATTTGATTTGTTCAGATTTCTGTTCGACATGGTGTTTCCAATTTAGTCTACTCTTTACTGATGAAGTAGAATTAAGAGAATCAGTTTAAGAGGTAAGCGCATCCTCTATCTTAAGGTTATGGTACTAAATCCTCTTTATAATATACATAACTGCATACTATAGCATGACCGTATCAAAAAGGAAAGGTCTTTGTACAGCAATAATATTTGACCTATAAACTCAGGAAGAAATGTATTAAAATAAACAAAACTCTATAGATAGTTGGGCGCCAGTTTATTTATATAAATATACAATATCAATTGCATTTGTTAATTATTAACATTAAAAGAACTTCAAAAATAGGTAGTTACACTTATAATAATTTAATATTAGCAATAATATATTCTTTGTTATTTTGTTTCGAATTTTTTTTGATTTTTTTTTAGTGTTAAAAATGTTCAATATTGTCCTAGTATTGTATTAAAATAATTACACTTAAAAATAAATTATTTAATTTAATTTGATTTCAATTCAGTTATATGTATTAATCATTTACCCACCTTTTGCTCCAGAATAATAATACATTTTTGTAGATCTTGATTTAGGTCTTATAACAACTACCGCATGTATCTACTTGGAGTTGTTAATTATGCAGTGTAACTATCTGAGAAGTGATACATGATTAGTAACAGTGGATAGTCATTGGATCAATCAATGTATAACTTACAGGTATTTAGTCCTATATTTTAATTTATATTTAACGACATTTCGATTTGTATATATGTTAAGATATTTGATTGAGTATCACCTATCACATATTCAGGTTAGAATTTAAAAAAGTTATTCGAAATAAATAATTGTGGATAATCTATGGATCAATTAATGTGAGAATTCTACCTGCTCATTTCATATACCACCTTCATTACTTTATGAAATTTTGCATTTGGTCCATAATAACATAGAGATGGATTTATTGCTATAGCGTTTAATTTATTTAAACTCTTCATATTGATTCCATTATTTTACCGGTACACGAATACAAATTCATCGTTAAGAAATAAATGACTAATTAACTATAAACTTTACACTTACGTTTTGGATAAGAGCATTTTTTCTTGATGAGACATCGCAGGTGTTCAGATGTATCATATCATTTTTAAGAGACTGGATGTAAGTTTCGAATTTCTAAGCCATGGTTATTATTTGCACGGATTGTTATTTGCCAGCAAATTCTAAATTATACATGTAAAAAAATAATATACTGAATATTAAATTTATAAATAAATAAAAAAATACCATCTCCATCCAGTCTGCATACGTTTCTTTTTAGTTAAAAGTTTGCGAATGGCGTTCACTTGTCTTTATAGGCTTCTTTTTTGGCTTAAGCTTCACCACAGATTTGACTTTATCTGCTCTTTTAGGATGCACTGGATTATTAACATTTAGACCAGGGGGCTTGTTACGCTTTTGTCTGCCACATTTTTGGCACAATTTAGGTGTTGGGCCTTTAATCTGATTAATATTTAAGTGGGCATAGTATTGCTTCTCCGCCTCCGTCATACGTCGCCAAATCGCCCCAGCAGCCTTAGACACTTCTATTGGTTTGAGGTTTCTATTGACTTGGCGAAATCGTTGTAAGAATTTAAAAAATGCATTCATGCTTATAATGCTAATTATAAATTATATAAATTGATTTCTATAACAATATTAAGGAGCAAAAAAATTTCAAATTTACTGAACAAAAAAAAAATTTCAAATGAAATAATATTTTTGATTATTAAAATAAATTTTTTCTTTGAATTCAATAACACATGAAAATATGATATAATTACTAGATTTTTATTTTTTTGCACTTGATAATATAATAGGTACAAATATTTATGGATATATCGGGTCCAATGCGTTAAATTTGTTTCCTTGTAATAGGAAGTCCCTTATTTACCTGTTAATCATTTTTTTTAAAAGCATTTCTTATATTTACACATTTTATGAGCAGATCACCTGTTAATCTTAAATCTCTTCAAACCACTGAGAGCAGTTAATGATATATAAACATTAACCGAATAAACATTAAGATCTGAAATGTCTTCAATAATAATAAAATAATATTAATAATATATAATATTAATTATATAATAATAATATAATAATAATGTAATAATAATATAATAATATTTGTTATTTGTTATTTCAGTTATTACGATCAAATAGAAAAAAAGGAGTATGTGTAGTTCAAATCGGCCTTATACCCTGGGACACCCTAATATGTATATAAAAAGTAATAGTAATATATATATATATATACTTACTGAAACTATAACTAATTAGCAATATTTTTATATCGGGAACTTAAAATAGTTGCTATTAATTCTTATCTATAATATTTTATAATATCTATAATACCTATAATATCTATTACCTACATCTATTATTTATCATCTCTAATATCTATAATACTTTTATATCGGGAACTTAAAATAGTTGATATTAATTCTTATCTATAATATTTTTTAAAGTATTATGATTAATACTTAATTTAATTAGTAAAATCAGATGGATTAGTGCTCTTAAGCCGTCGTGCTAGGTTTTCTGTTTGCAGGAGTAATGAAGCTTCTGTGTTACAGTGAATTGTTTTAGCAATTGTTGGACCATGCAAGTCACGATGAAGGTCGCTGTTACGAACATACCATAGAGCATTGGTAATTTATTCTTAAGACGTTGTTTTGATATCGTTAAATAAAAGAAACTCTTACTAATTAAAACAAAACAATAAATAATCTGTCAGGCAACCATCTGTAAAAACTTTATCGCATTTTTAGTACTCTAAACTCTATATTAATTAGCCTACATTCTTTTTAATGTTTATGTAAAATTTTTTGAAAATTTTGAATTTATCTGTACGAACCCATTATGAAGTAATAACAGAGTGAATAACAAATAAGCCTCGTTAAGGCGGACGTAATATTTTAATTGTTAACTGATAGCATTGGCAATTGCGAGGAGTTATCAGAAGCCGAGCCATTACAGTTCCGAGTTCCGTACATTTTACAACAATTCAAACGGATAAAAATAGCTCAAAAGCTAATAAATTATCTAATACAATGGATCAAGTATTTTATGTTTTATCTGTGCTCATAAATGTTTACCGAAATGCTCATAAAGTAAACAAAAAAAAACAAATTTTAATGAAAAATCAATACATTTTATTTAAAATAAGTTTAATAATAGTTGGCGACTGATAAAATTATATAAATTAACCCTTTCGTAGCGGACTAAGTTAATTCATCATTTAATAAGATGAAGATTCGGTTGCCCAACAGCACAAGGCATTTAGTTTTAGAACAATAAATACGTATGTATTATATTATACATACGTATTATATTGTATAAACATCCCATATAGCTATATTATTATTTATTTATTATTGTTAGGAAATGTGGCACTCTGACCGTCGAGTCTTCTGTGCCCCCTTCTGGGTTTAGAGGAGGTCTCTAAATCCTGTAGTGCCAATAAAATATAGTGTAGAACCTACTTTACAGAGTTTTATTGTCTCTTCCATAAGAATATACATTCCCAGGAGCCTATTCCGTATGTGCATTAGCGAAGGCCACTCTATCAGCACATGTGTGGCCTACACCTCATTCTCTTCACAGAATGTACAGTTTGCAACCGTAAGTATACCCAGTCTTGTAAGATGGTATTTTAGTTAACAATGCACTGTTAGGATTTCTGTGATACAGCCATATAATTATAAGCATTTACTATCAATTTGTTATAACACATAGATGAAGGCCTCAGTAGCCAGAGCTATATCTACGTTAGTATTAGTTTTATAAACTACACTACTCTACAATAAATAATAGTCGAGTAAGAGAAAATCATTTGTTTCGAGGTTTTATTTGTGATAGAATAAATTTGAATGTTAAATATTTTACAGGACTTCACGTATTGTTTCATTTGTTATTTCAATGAAACTTAAATCAAAATCAATAGTTCAAAATCAGAAAACTTCACCAGTAATTCTTGGGTTGCCTTCTTCGTTGTGATATTGACTTTTGAGTGTAATATCGAAACGATATCAATTGCCACAAGTGTTTACAATTATTTTGTTGAGTTGCTGTCAATGGGAATTAAGATAAAATTTTTCTATCGCTGAGTCCACTTACACATTTTGTATAGTATCGTAAAATTTCATTCATATCATATCGTATCATATATTATTGTCATTCTCAATTTATTAAATATAGTAATTTATTGCAGTGCAGTACTGACATTTCACTATATCGGGAAGTATTTAAACCAAAATGTAATAAACACAAGTGAAATACAAGTATCTTTTGAACTTCTTCTTTGCGCAAAATTTCAATCACTTTTGAATAGAAAAATCCCTTTTAAAGATATTTTTATATATATTCATATGTTCATAGTTATTTATATCTATACAAATATATGTATATAAATTTCTTATCATATTATTTTGAAACTTTTGTAGTTTGTAATTTTCGTAAATTAATAAATTATTTGAAAATTGTTTGAAAAATTTATGGTCTTGAAAAAATTATCAAACGCACATTAGAGAACATTAGAGAAGTTTTTTTCTAAAAATTAAATATAAAAAATTATTTTATCAAGTCATTATAAGCAGATAAACCGAATTAGCACGACTTATTACATCACTTAAAAAATTTGGATGATAACGTATAGATGGTGTCAAAACTTAATAGGAAATAGGTGACACTTCTATAGGAAATGGTAACCTTGAAACGATATCTGTCATGAGTTCATTATAATCTGTTATTTCTTGTTGTTGCAGTGGATTTTGTAATGCGTCCTTCCTTTCCTTTTGTTTTATTCTGGAGTCAGTTGTGGAAAAACCTTTACTCTCTTATGTGGGCGAGATTATAATCACTTCGCTATCTATGGTTTTGCGATAGTTTTTGGTGGCATGATTGCTTAAATCATGCTAACATGTTTAATCATTTCATGTTTAAATCACTTTTTAACCCATTTTTTATTTTTGACGCTAGTTTTTTCGTTCAGATAAGCTAATCATTCCAATAATCATCCGCTCCATCGTCCAATCGTCCTTACTAGCTTTTAAAACATTGAAGCAAGTATTGCTTGTTCCTGTATAAACGACTATAAAAATTCAACGGGTTTAGTAATGTGTCCTTAGCAAATATCAAGACATTGGAACAATTATAGCATGTTTCTGTTTAAACTTAGAAATGACTTCAAAAGTAACTCTCCTCTAACAAGATTAAAAATTTGTTAATTAATAAATAATAATAATACTTAATAAATAAATTTGCTGAGTTTAAATACAACTGCTCATATACTAAAAATGCAGAAGTCGTCCGACCTTGGACGACCAAAGATAATCGTCATTTATATAACAAGACATGAAGGCTGTTTTTTACAACTCTGAAAGAAAAAATTACGACCATTGTTCCGGTTTGCATCATTCTATGCATCTAACCTTTTAAGAGATGGGTATTTAACCCCTTGAGAGATGGGTATCTAACCCATTGAGAGATGGGTATCTAACCCATTGAGAGATGGGTATCTAACCGATTTAGAGAGGTGTACCTAACCCATCGAGAGATGGGTATCTAACCCATTGTTGAATTGTGTTACTCATTGAGAAATGCGTTACTCATTTGAGAAATGGGTTAGATGCATTTAATATAAACAAATTTACTTCTTCTCTACAGCAGCAGTTATTTAGCATAATTCATATCAATTAAAATTAAATTTGAATTAAAAACTATTTTCAATAAAATTTTTTTTTTATTTTTTAAATTAAATTAATTTTTAATGTTGGCTTTACAGAAAGAATTTAATATAAACCATAGTTTTCAATACAGAGGTTTTTATCAAATAGTATTGAATTGCAACAACAAATATTTTTATTAAATTTTTTTTTTTTAATTGAATTTTTGACTAACCATACAGCTGTTTCGAGTATTATCAAACACCCAACATCTGTAGTCTTGGAATTATTTCTAATATTTAATGATTTGTAAGTAATTTTTGGAGACTGCGAGTACCAAGAGTTGAACTTGTACTCGCTCAGATTTGTAGCTCAGCATTAGTGTTCATCAGACAAGTGATCCGGGCCGTAATTGACTTGTATGTACTCGAACTAAGAGTTTTGTTAATTTGCTGTGAAATAAATTCATTTGCTGTATTTGTATTAAAATGAAGTCGTTAAATCAGCTATAGAAAAATTGGATTAATCAACTTATTTATATTTTTGTTAAATTTCAATACTACGCTTTTGTAGAGGCATTATTTATTAATTTTTTAATACAATATACTCTTGCTTACTCCAGATAGTATTTCACAATCTAAACAAAAAATTTAAAGTATAGTTTTTAATAAAAAAAAAATATCTTAAAAAAATTTCGTCATTGTAAGTATAGTGAATAATTCTTTTTTTGAAAACGTGTGCCGTGTGAACTTAAAAGACTTCAAAATATCTTAACAATTCTTATCTAAATATTTTTTTTCCGTTATATGCGCGGACAGACATAAATTTGCTATTAATTGTGGTGTTTATTGAGAACTGCGTTTTATCAGCATTTTGATATTAAAATAATATGAAGTAATTCAATAAAATTAATTAATATCAAATAACCTTTAAATTGGTAATTAAATTGAAATATACTTAAAAGAAATATTTATACTTCTTTCATAAGAAGTA